AGAAGGAGCAAGGATGGCTGGGAAGGRGGCGCAGGCAGTTTAAAAGCTGATGCAGCTGCACAGTCGGGCTTTTGGAGCTCGGCTTTTGCTTTGGCAGCACAGCTCTGTGCGGCGCGGGAGTCCTTGCTCGCCTCGTGCAGTGGAGTTACATTGTTGCAGTTTTAGCTAGCTYGGGTCTGTTMGCTTSGGCAGCTTTCYCTGCCCAGTCGCAATTGGGCGACTGGTGGGGAGAAGCCGCGTGGCTCCCTCTTGTCCTGGATTCCGGAAGAAGCCAAGCCAGCAACAGAAACACACACCGAGTCCTGTGTTCCATCCACAGTGAAAAAAGGACTATAATCCAGGTTTTTGCCACTGTTACGGGAGCGGCCACGTGGGTTTTTCTTTTTGTTGGTGGGGAGCTGCCATCTTTTCTCCGTACCWCCACGTGGTGAGCGGGAGGGGGCAGCAGGCATACCTGGACTTTTAAATATCTAATGGTTACTTTTTATTTGTGTCCTGTGGGCACGGTGTTTCGTTAATAAACTACTTTTCTTTCTCTTCWTTTTTTTTTTGCCCAATCGTCTGTTTTCATATTGCTGGGAAAAAAAATTATCAAAGTTTTTCACTTCAGAGGAAACATTTACTCTGCAAAATTCTTCTCTGAAAACATTGTCTCAAACCGAGACAGCAGGAAAATACAGATTTCTTTCCAAATAGAAGTAAGAAATGGATGATTTATCAGACACATTTAAAAATATTAATGGTGTAAAAAATCTTGATAAATAAAGGATGATTATTCTCATCTTCACAGACCAAAGTACAGCTGTGAAATCCTTCCAAGCARTGCTCAAGATGTTTGATTTCTATTTTAGTTGATATTTGACAGATAGGATTTTATTTTTGCATTATCTAGGGGAAATGGAAATGAGTATTTGTTCTGTCCTTTATCCTTCTTGCTCTCCTTGCTTATCCTTCTGCTTTTTTATTTGTAGAGATTGCAATGCTTTATTGCACATGGCCTTGAGAGCCTTCAGGAGTTATRTATCTTCTGCAGTCAGTATTTTTCCTTATTATTTTATGGTGTGGTAAACCAAACAGATGCCAACTGAACACTTGATGTCTAGTGTTTCGACTGTATAAATAGGAACACAGCTGAAAAGCATTGTAGCCTGGAAAAGACAGATTTTAACCGAAACACAGATTTGCTTTGGGCTTCTTAGGCAAGTTTCTCTACAGCTCAGCTTCCAAATTCTAAAGTGATCCTCTAGTTTATGAAAAGTAAGGTAGGAATACCAGATGTTAAGAAATCACAATATTATGTTGGAAGAAAAGTCTTTGCACTAGAGGAATCCTAGGTGTAAATTGCACTGATTTATGAATAAGAGATGAGGAAGACGTCAATTTTCAGCACTAGGCCACAGTCCCATGAAATTAGCTGTACCTAAAACTGTGCTCTAAAGGCATGGTTCCTAATGATGAGGTTAGAGTTTGCTGTCTAACACAGAAGGAAATGAACACCCTCTCCCAAATCAAATATTGTTCAGTCTGGTTACTGAGTTGAAGTGACCACATGGCAAGCACTGAGGAGGAGCGAAGGGTGGGTGAAAATCTGCAGCTCGAACATGAGGAGTCAGCAACATCTCAGCTTCTCTGCACTGGTGAACTATTAGATCAGATCAGCTGCTCCTGGATCTGACTAGAAGAATCATTTTGCTCTGCAGATCATCACTTCAAGACCCATTTGGGAAGAGACAAGACTCAACTGAACAAGATACAATAAGCTTTTTTTTGCTTGTGCTAGCAGGTTCTTAACAATACACTCAGTATGCCATTGAATAGACAATCTGAAATGAAAGAGCTCTGAAACGTCTAATAAACTCACTGTGCTAAGTTATATTTATGGCAAACTAAAGTGTTCTCAGACTACTGAAAAAAATTGGGAACAATGCTTAGTTATTCAGGAAGGGCCTGATCTTTAAAGAAGTAGATCTGGCTCAAAACCAACACAACTATGAAAAAAGTTTACCCAGGGGAAAGAAGGTCAAAAGCACTGAAGAACTGAGGTAACAGAGGAACCAACACTGGGGGAACAGAGGCACTGTTGTTTTTATAGGCAAGTGTTTCAGAAGTCTATTCAGCAAATTATTCACTCAGTCTTAAAGCAATTAGCCCATGGGGCAAGTTTGGGGCACAAGCCCATTCCACCCAACCTTTCCCTTTGTCCTGAAGGAGATGACCCCTCTGACACGGTCTGAATGACTTTCTGTGTCTTGGCACAAGCAGGCATTCCCTGATATGTCTAGTCCCACCCTGTCTTCCCACAGAGGCATGAGCACAATTAAGTCTTTGCCTGTGCCACTGCACACCCCAGTCATGGCTGCATCCCCATGGMAAGGAGAAGAAAGGACTGGGCAGTAAGCATGTTGCCTGGAAGAGGGACAGAAGTTTGGGAAGTGGGGAGAGAAGGGTGGCTGCTCCAATGAAAGATTCGTGGTATTGGCCTGGTTGGGTGGGAGTGCTACTGCTGTCAAGAGGAGGRAACAAGCTCCCAGGCACAAGGAGAATGAAAGATCAGCCTACAGAATCTCCTATACTGATAGTCACACCTGTCAATTTTGGGTGTCCTATTCATGCTGCAAGCTTTTAGCTCTCATGAAACCACTATTATTGCCCTGAAATAAATCAGAAGTACTTCAGGTCTAAATAATTCAGATGTCAAAATGAGTATGAGGAAGAAAATGATTTAGCAGGACTGCTTTGTTTTTGAAGTTGCTATTTCTTTCTGTTTATGCACCCATACAGACACTAACAAATCAGTGAACTGGATGCACAACCAGACAGCATCACTGATTACATCTTYCCCTGAACAAAAGCAAGGAAATAAAAGAGGGGGGGAAAAAAGCAAGCAGAAGTTATTTAATAGGCAGAACTATTTGATGAGATTTTATCTGCTATGCAGTTTAAACAGAATTCCCAAACTATTTACAATCAGAATGTTGAGGGTTGTTGAGCGTTGCAAACAAATTTTAAATAACTCCTGTTGGCAGTTTTTTTCACAGAGTTGCCAAATCTCATTCTTTTATCACAGATCTCATAATGTTGAATTGCTTATTTAGATCACAATTCAAAGAAGTACTGACTAATGAGTTCCTTGTCTTTTTTTTTCTTTTTAAAATAAAAGTAAATTTCTCAGGAACATAATTTTTGCAGAAGGTAAAAGATAATCAGAGTAAATACCAGAGCAGTCAGGGGTCTTATTGTCCATCTAGGCCTTTCTCTAATCAGGGGAGAAGAGATCTGTTGTTTCCTGGCAGCTGCCTGATGACAGCAGAAGGACACGGGATCTGGGSAATGCTCCCTGTTGTTCAGTGGCAKTGCTTGCCCTGCTTAATAAACCCTGGCTCCAGATTAGCTCTCACTCTGTACTCCCTCATCTTCCCTCCCCCTAGCCTCACGGGGTCTTTCCACGTTACTGAAACTTCCATGAATATAAAAAAATTCCACCGGCTTCACTGTGACACCAGTCAGAAGGAGAGGCCTATTTACAGCACCAGCCTATCAGAGGACCCTTAAAAAAAAAAAAMCACAACAGAACAGTATTTTTTAGGTATAACTCAACAGCTGACAAGGTTGGGGGCAGGATTTGCACCTGTTACCGGCCCCAACCATTGTGTGTAGAGGTCCATTTGACACCAAGAGTGTCCGAGATTGACACCAAGCTGCCTTGAGCCTTCACAGACATACAGGTCTGCACAGGCAGTGTTAGGAGGTCAGTGTGACCTCTAGTCGTGTGGGATAGCCAGTCCAGGTAAGACCCTTGTCTTGGTCTAATTTAAAGCTCAGGTTTTTGCTCTGTTTTCAGTATCAGACACTTAACCTTTTTCGGCTGTCGGTAAAACACGAAATGTAAACATAACAGAGAGGTGTCAAGAGGATGGAGCCAGGCTCTTCTCAGTTGTGCTGAACAATAGAACAAGAGGCAACTGGCAGAAACTGATGCACAGRAAGCTCCACCTGAACATGAGGAAGAACTTTACTGTGTGGGTGACACGCAGTGGAACAGATTGCCTAGAGAGGTTCTGGAGTCTCCTTTCCTGGAGATATCAAGAACCCTCTGGATGCAATCCTATGTGGTGTGGGGCAACCATGTTTGAGCAGGGAGGTTGGACCAGGTGACCCTCTGTGGTCTCAACCTGACGCATTCAGTGATTCAGTGATTTCATCCTCCATCTGATCAAAGGCACCTGAGAGATTTTTGGACTCCAAGACTATCAAAAATTGAGTTAAATCCCCAAAGATGTAATTCAGTCACTCATACTTTACCTGCACCCTGTTTTCTGTGTGTTTAGTGCACATCAGARTCATCTGGAGGCTTTGTGGAGACCCGGGGACTGGAAATGCATTCCTGATTGCAGCCAGGTAGGGGTTGGCCTCTTCTCCCTGGCAACTAACAGCAGGACGAGAGGTCACTCTTAAGCTGCACCAGGGGAGGCTTAAGTTGGACTTCAGGGAGATTTTTTTCACAGAAAGGGTGCTAAAAACATTAGAATGGGTTGCCCAGGAAGGTGGAGGAGTCACTGTCCCTGGAGGTGCTTAAAGAAAGACTGGACGTAGCCCTTAGTGCCGTGGTCTAGTTGACACGGTGCTGTTCAGACTCGATGGCTTCAGACGTCTTTTCCTAACCCAGATGATCCTGTGATTCAAAGGGCAACAAGCACAGATCCCCGTGCAGCGGTCTGCCTGCAAGACAAGGCGCTCACAGAAGCCAATCTGGGCTCGCCGAGGCAGACGCTGACCTCCCTTACCTTCACACCCACCGCCCCTGGGCCAAGCCCCGCCAATTCCCCGCCGCCTACCCTTCCTCCCTTCCCCTGGCGTCTCCCGGGAGCCGGCGAGACAGGATCCGCCCCACCCGCGCCCCGCCCCGCCCTGCGCATGCGCGCGCAGCCGCGTGGCTGCGGCTCGGCACTCCGCCGCCAGGGGCGCTGCCGCGCGCCTGCTCGCGCCTTGCGGGGGCGGTTCCCGCTTGGGTCCGCACCCGGATGGCGATGGCGGCGGCGGCGRCRGCGACAGCGACAGCGACGGGCGGCGGAGGCGGGGAGCGGAGCAGCACCCGGGACCGGCTCCTGGCGGCGCTGGAGGATCTCGAGCTGTTGGCCAGGTACCGCGCTCGGCCCGCCGTGGGCCCCCAATAGCGGCGGGACACCGGAGGCGCGCTGAGGGCTCCCGGCGCGGTGCGGGCGCGGAACCTCCGGCGGGGACGGCTGAGGAGCGGGAGCCCCTGAGGTTGGGATGGGAGGGGGCCGGCCCGACTGGACCGCTGGCCCGGCCCGGCCCGGCTCCGGCACACCTTTTCTTGCTCCCCCGCCGTCCTCAGGCTGGCTCCTGTGGGAGAGGGGCTGGTGCTGCGCCGGGGCTCGGCCCTGAGCTTTGCTTCTCGGCGCTTTTCCCAGTGGGAAAGCATCAGCCGTGCTTTCCCTCCCATTTTCAGAAAGAAGGAGCGCTTCCTTATTCTCCCACTTGACTTTCTCACTTGGTTGACGCCTGCGTTTCCTGTGAAGGGCACACTCACACGCCCATTTTATGCATTTTATTAGTCTCTAAAAATTATGCTTAAGTCAGAAATACATAGATGGTGTTGCATGACATAAGCTGTGCAGGTTATTGCTTGTATTAATGGTACATTCACTCCAAGTATGCTGGAGAGCTCGTCTTTAGAGTGATATAAGTGCTCAGATACTTAGTCTATACTCTTAAGGCCAGACTGGCAGTCCCCATCCAAGTTGTCAACCATGTGTGGAGGCATAGCAGGCAGTGAAGTTCAGCTAGTTCCTAATGATTTTCCACACTTCAGGGAGAGCAGGAGCTTAGGAAAGCATTTTCAGAGGGAATAACCTGTGCTATCCATGTGGCTCGCTTACTCAATGATTACCAGGAGTAAGACAAGGTATTGGTGAGTTGTTCTTGTGTCTGTTTAAGTTTTATCCTTAATCACAGATTTTATGGTGATATAAGTGTTGCTGGAGAACAAGTGTTTATGGAAAAATGAAAAASAAACTTACTCTTTATCTAAATTACTATTGCTTTTAATGCTGGAACTAGTGTTCTATGATAATGATCCCATAGCAACCTTCAGCAGCATTTAGTGAATCTTCCTGTTGATCAGAAAAGTTGCAGCACCCTGGAGCTAGGMCTTTGTCAGTCACAATACTGGTTTGGTGGTAAGGGGCAAAAATTAAGCAATGTGTCTAATCTGTAGCCTTCCTATAGTTTTGCATCTACATCTGTGCATTATCTGTCTAAAATGGGGTAGAATTACAGCAGTCCAGGACAACAGCCTTCATGGTGGTATCTGATCTACTTAAAACTGATTCTATTTGCTACTCTTCAGTGTTTGTCAGTGCTTTAGTTGCTTTAGTGACAATGATAAGTTTCTTTATTCTCTAATTAAGTAAAATCATAGTAGTGTTCCGGAGTGACCAAGAAATGTACGCCAAGATTAGAGCTTTACTGKTTTTTTTTAAGACATTTTGAAAATTACCTGTTTTTATTGTAAGATTCTGGCCCCACTGCTGTATTACTCGCACATCCCATTGAGCTGCTCACACTGGACCAAGCAAAGAATCAGCACTTCCAAGGACAGTTTTCTCCAGACAGACAGTTACTCATACTCAGCCAAATAACTTTGCTGAATTTATAGAAAATGCCTTTTTGCATCATGGTACTCAGAGGTTCTTGCTGGCTTTTCAGAACAGTGGCAAGGTATCTGGATATCTGGAAGAATGATCAGGAGGTCTGTTTGAGAAGTACTTCTAGCCTAGSCCCAGAATGTTACTAGGGTTCTTTTATATTTTTGTGTGCTTGATGCACAGCTAATACACACTTATAGAAATATTTGTTGTTAAAGTTGTTTCATAACAGACTATGTAGGTATTTGAAAGTGTAGACTTAATTGCTGTAAACTACAATTATATTGGGAAAAAATGGAGAAGTAGAGAAGTAAAACAGTGAAGAACTTCTTGCAACAAACAAAGTAGTAAAGAGGGGTATGAGTGCACTTCATTAGGCAGTTTCTTCTCTCAGCTTCTGCTTAAGTCTTTTATGGTCTAACAGGAACTTAGCACATTTCTTGATTTGAATTATGCAAATGCTTCATAAGCTCAAATAACAAAAAAAAAAGTGCTTTCTAGGTTGAAAAATCCCTCCCCACACTGTACTGTAAWATACAAAGTACTAAGGTCCATGAATACTTTTGTAATTATACCAGTTCTCTGGTAATTTTGTGATTGCTTGATTGATAATGCCCTAGAAAATTGTGCGAACAGAGTTTTCCTTTCAGGGAACTAATTGAAATTTTGGCAATTTCAAGAAACCAAAAGCTTCCACAACCAGGAGAGGAGAGCCAGGTAAGCTGACTTTCTAAATTGTGTTTCTTTGGGTAAGCATAATGCTTTACTTCTGATTTTTCCGTTCTTTTATTTGTTCTTTCTCTCTACCTTTGTCCTTGCCTATTCTCAAGCTAAAGGTGATGATGGGGTTCTGCCCCTGCTGCAAAGGCATTCTTGGTTCTCCTGTTATTTATTTTTTGTGTGCTTCATAGGCAGTTTCTGCAAACAGGAAGAAATTTTGTTTCATTTTTCATAAAACAAAAATACTTCTATGGATGTCATTTTCTCTCCTTTGTAGTACGACTGAGGGTGTGTTGTTACTCTAACCAAATTAAAAGTTCTACAAACTCTTGTTCAATAGATTCTGGAACTGCTGATTCAGAGAGATGCGGAGTTTCAAGAGCTAATGAAGTTGGCGGTTGATCAGGGAAAAATACATCATGAAATGCAGCTTTTAGAAAAGGTAGTAGAAAAGAGGGATAATGATATTCAGCAGCTGCAGAAACAGCTAAAAGAAGCAGAGCACATACTGGTAAGTTCATAATGATGTGTTTGCTTTTAAGCATCTACTTGCAGAAAAGGTGGTTCTAGACAAAGAGGTGTTGTGTTAGTTTGAGAAGATTTAAATATCTAAAACTTCATAAGAGTTTAGTGGTTTGGGTTTTTTCTCAGTAGTCAAAACACTGTTGAGTTATCATGATATTAGTTTTTTTCAAATAATGCTAAGTTTCTTCTAAACCTACTTTATTTCTGTGTATTTTGAAAATGTTCACAGAATAGTTTCTCTTAAAATGCAATTAAATGAAATGGTTTATTCACAACGTTGGCTTTATGTAGATGTTTATAAATTAAAGATGGATTGAAGGTTTGGTTTACTTTGTGGATTTTTATTTTTTACAACTAGGCAACAGCTGTTTATCAAGCAAAGGAAAAACTGAAATCAATTGAAAAAGCACGAAAAGGTGAGTAGTAATGATTGTATGTACTACGTAAATGCAATTGTAAACAAAGCTGTTAGTGAGCTCAATTTGGGCCTTTTTAATTTTTTTAATTCTACTGTCACGGATTTCAGATGCTTTATGTATGTAAACAAATTTCTGTTTCATTATGAAACTGTAAACACTTCCTCAGAATAAAGGCAGGATTGAATTGGTTTTTTTGTGGCAAACATGAGTTGTCTTTTTGGACTGATAATAGTATATCTGATTATCTAAGTGCCTTATGAAATTGCCTCTGCAGGTTTGTTAAGGAAAGGAAGAAAATGTTTGTGTGTATATGCACTGAATTTGAAAGAGTGACTAGCTGGTGATGCTAGTTTGTAATTGTAGCATTTCCTGTCACTCTGTGGCACTTACCAAACCAAACAAACAGAAAATTTTATAATRAAGCAGGAACTGAAGTTTTAGGAATTGTGCTTGGCAAGTACATTTGTTTAAGAGATTGTGTTTTCCATGAGGTTAGAAAACCATTGACACTGAAGGTGCTTTGCACTCATGTCTGTAAAATCAGTTCACTGCAAAGCTCATCTTTGCTTAGTCTGAAACGCTTCTGAACAGTCATTGCATTTGAACCAGGCTCTTAATGTTTGGCAAAATCACCTACCTATATTTAAATATTGGTGACCAATATTCTGGAATAATTAAATATTGCAATCACTTGAGAATGCAGCAACCTTTTTTCCATTTTTCCAGGCGCCATTTCCTCTGAAGAAATAATTAAATATGCCCATAGGATCAGTGCTAGCAATGCTGTTTGTGCCCCTCTGACATGGGTACCAGGTAACTATTGTGTTTATGATAGTAGATTTCTTTTCATAGTAAATCATAGTTAGTATCTGGTCTTACAATGTTCTTATATGGTGAAAATCACTCTGGTTTATTAGAGTAACATAGTTTTCAGCTGTTATATCTAGTATTTCAACAAAAAYGGATATCCAAAGTCCTGTGGACTTCATATTTGTCTGCAAAAGGTTATGAAACTGCTTTCATTTAGAGACTGGCATCCTCTGCTATTCTTTGTTTGCCTTTTTCCCCTGAATGCCAACCCTTATAAGTCAAAGGCAAGTGTGTTAAAGGCTTTTCTATGTGCTTGGTTTTGTTCCCTCTTGTCCCTTTTAATATTCCCTTCAGAGAATGTTAGTAATCAGCAGAGTCAGAAGCAGAACTTTTATTACAACGTGTTTAGATTTTGGGTACTACCTTCTTTGTCCAAGATGAAAATGTGTTTGATCCAATTGCTGTCCTTGCTGTTTAGCTGTGATGTAGCAGGGAGAGCAAAGATACCTTTTAAACATGATGGGTTTGTTTGTTTGGTTTTTTTTTTTGTTTTAGTTGTTTTGGGTTGTTTATTTAATTTTTAAATGTGCTTTTTCTGCCCAGTTTGAGTGAACAGGGAAAGTCCAAGTGAAAGACAGACCTGGATTTTGATAAAACTGGTGTGATACTTGTTGCTGATCCAAGCAACCAGAGTATGGGGGTTTTTGGTCATTGAACTAGGTATTGAAGTTAAAGCTAATGTCTGCAAGACAAGTGTTAAATATTTCAAAGCATTCTTATTCTTCTTTTTTCTTAAAGGAGACCCACGTAGGCCATATCCTACAGATCTGGAAATGAGAAGTGGTCTCTTGGGTCAGATGAACAACCCATCCACCAATGGAGTTAATGGACATTTACCAGGGGATGCACTTGCAGCAGGCAGACTGCCAGGTAGGTAAAACTGAGATTTGTTTTGTTTCTCTTTATTCCTTCTACAGTCAGAGCAATTTCCCTTAGCTAAGGCAAATCAGAAGTAGAACAATGAAAATGATGGTTAATGTTGTTTCCTAGCAGTGAAGACCTACTAAATAAAGTTAATTAGAAATTGCATATTTTTTTCATTTCATGCTAAACTGCAGACTCTACAGCTAAGTCAATATAAACTCAGTTACCTTCATGTATTTTAAATAAATAAATTAAGTGATTTCCAATCATATTAGAAAGAAGCACTTTCAGAGCAACTTTTACTTAGTGGTGATGACAAGGCATGGAATTGTGAAGGCTATATTTGGAAGAAATGTGGTTTAGTGTCATCTCCTACCTTTTTTTGAATCTATGCTTACAAGTTTTAGATTGAAAAGACATGTCAAGAGACAACTGCTGAGATTGTACATTGAGTGTAGGAATCGAGCTTTAATCTCTTAATTGCTTAGTGAAATGGGCACTTCCATTGACTTTAGTGAGATGCATTTCTTCATGATAAAAATCAATTTAGCAATAAATTACAGTAATTGAATCAAGAGTTCTGTATCTGTGTGGTATTAATCTACCACGGTTAGACTAAATTATGGAAAAATTCTTAGTTTGGATTCATAGGAAATCAGTAACAGTTCKTACATGTCTGTTAAGCCACTATCAGGCATTATGAAAAGCTTTTTTTACAAAAAAAACCTGCTGAATTTGTTAAAAAACCCTGTTGAACTCCATTGGAGAAATAATAAATTTGGATTTTGTGTTTCCAATCCTCTGTCTAATCSTATTGTCATGTCTTATGAAGTGACTGGAAATTCTGCATAATCTCACTTTATAAACCTCTAGCCTCAGATAAAATGGGTCAATGAGCTGAATGGGAGTAGGACCCTGACATCAGTCCATATCAACCCGTCAGGGCATTGCTGTGGATTGGCCCATGTATCTTTTCTGTTCTTTTGAAATATGATCAGGGGATGTTAAGGCTGTGACTTCCTAATGCAGTTTGAGCATTTACTTATGTAAGTTYTAGTAGAGCCCATTCTGGCTGGCTCCTCTGCTTTAGAGGATGCAGACTTAATCCGTTTACTTTTGAGTGCTGACTCTGTAAGAACCGAAAAGAATTTTCAGGAATTTTAGGGATTTTCCTTGAGAAACTGGAAAATGTGGGATTTAAACTCCTCCAGTAAAGTTCTTAATTGAGTCTTCGGCTCCTCTGTTAGATTAAACCCTCACATAATTACACTGTCAAGAGGGAAACATTCATTTACAAAAAAGTCAAGGCTGCCCCAGCATTTTGTGTAGGGATGCTGAATCTGTTGATGCATGGAGGCATGTCCTGAGAATGCTAATTATGGAATCTAACTCTTTTGATCTAACCCCTGCAGGGATGTCCAGTTGCCAAGTCCTTAATGAATGTGCAAGCCAGCCACTGGGCTGCCTGGCAGCCTCCAAACTTTGAGGCCTGGTTTAATAGCAGACTGTTTTTAGCATTGAAGCATGGCCACATGATGTAAAACAGTGGCTTCCATTCTGAGCTTGATCAAATAAAGGCATTTCAGGCATATTTGGATAGAGCTTTTTTCTCTGAATTTTTATGGCCTACCTGAATTTTTTTTAATGTAATATTTTTATCTATTTTTGCATACTGACAGACAATGATAATTTTCATTACTTGCAGTGGTTGTGAATGCTTAGTCAGTTCAAAGTGTGCTTTGAAGGTGAAAAGCTCTGTAAGAGTTATCAAGAGCCACCTACATAAATGGGCCTCTCTGGCAGGGTAGACTTTTACAGTTACAGAATTGCTCTATCTTGGCATGAACATTTTCCAGTTGTTACTGGAGGGTTTAATCTGTCCAAAATTCAGCAAGGATTTTAAGATTTGTTTTTGATTTTAAAGTGAAGTTCTGGTTGAGCTGTCTTGTTGAACTTGTCAGTATACAGAATGGATAGTTTGATTGATTTTGCCCTTTTTTGCCAGATGTGCTTGCTCCTCAGTATCCTTGGCAGTCAAGTGATATGTCAATGAACATGCTACCTCCTAATCATAGTAATGACTTCATGCTGGAGCCTCCAGGACACAATAAAGAGAATGAAGATGATGTAGAAGTTATGTCAACAGACTCCTCGAGCAGCAGCAGTGACTCAGACTAGGTACAAGAGGGACAGTATCCTTAGTAGACCTTTCCTGTGGAGAAGGTGACAGCTGGCTCAGAAAGAGGGTGACTAAAAAACCATGGACTGTAGATTTTTTTCCCATTAGATGCTCAAGTAAAATGACTGGGAGCTGTCTGCTGGGGCAGAGATAACAGATTTTCAGTGATTGTGTGAATGTATGTTTGCAACAGATATGTATATATATATATATATATATATATATATGTATATGTATATGTATTTACAATACATTAGCTGACTAAAGTTCCTGGGAAAAAAGGCGTAAGGGGAATCTCCTTGTTTGTTTGTTAGTAACTTTACTCTTTTGGTGATAGCGCCTTTTCTATGCCACAGAAATGAAACATGAAGTTTGTAATTTTAGTATCTTTTTTTGTTACTGCCTAAATCCATGTTCTTGATCATCTCCGTATCAAGAACAAAAATACGGCAATAAAGTGTAATAAAAGAGTTTGTAATTATTGTAATATATAATGAATGATTTGTCATAAATAAAGTCAGCTTTGATCTAACTTTAGTTTTCCAAACTTGAATCTTAGATGAGTTGCCATGTAACTTCAATACTCAGCACATTTTATCCCTGCATGTGGTTGAATTCTGATTGAGTTTCAGAAGTCTGTATTCCATTTTCCCCTTTGTAAAACGCCCAGTCAGCATCAGAAGCAGCTGAGGAGGAGTCAGAAATGGAAAGCCTGTCCTTCCTCTTCAGGTGAGCCCTTCCAGGTACACACACAGGTCTGAGGCAACGAGTCCCCACCCATAAGCCTGCACTAGTACTTGGTTAAGCACCCYGGAAACCTGGAGGTGACATGCTTTGGGGCATGCTGCAGGTTCAGCTCCTTTCAGATCAAAGTGCTCATGGATTTTTTTTATTCTTGTCATCTACAATTTTTTCAGTTCTTTGAACCTGCTAATTTGTTTACTTCGGTAGTTGCATTTCCTGCATCAGGTTATGTCTTTCCAAAGGCACTTCCCTTGGCTTTCTTTATCTTGTTTTGCTTAAGGAGTCATTTTGAGAGCATAAAATTACAGAATTAATGTGAACTGTTGCTCCTGGCAGCTGCAGGTTTCTGTCCTGCAGCAAGACTTCCTGCAGCACAGATCACAATACTCTTCATTTTTCAAATTGTTAGATTTCCTTACAGGAAGTATCTGATGAATCAGGTAATTCCACCTTAAATCAAGTAATCTTTCAAACATTGCTGCCAGTAATGCTGCCACCTATGACCAACATAGGTGCAAATCCCATAAGGATGTAGAAAGGAAAAGGACCAATCCGGTTCAACCATGAAATAGGGGGCAGCGATTTTTTTTTTTTTTAGGAGAAATGGGGAATTTGGTTTTGTCTCAGCTGTTTCTTTTAGAAGTATTTTCAGAGTTATTAAACTGTCACCTTTTTCACACTCTAAAGTTATTCCTATGTGTCGCGTTCCAACCGTGGGAACTGCGAGGAGTTCTTTT